AACACATAGAGAATTTTGTAATAATTTCTGCTCTAAAATGTAGAATTAAAGCAGTCCCACTATGCACTATGTAGGCGCTTGGGGGGGGAGGAGGAGGAGGAGGAGAGTTGGTATAACTCCTACTCCTTCTTAACCTCGGCAATAGACGGGGGTGAGTGGTCAGCATATGACAGCATCATTTCTGCTATACGTTTGATTATTTGACAGAGTTTTGCGAAAACACATTTGACGGAATTCCCCCGGCATACAGAGTAATTCTGCCATGTGCCTGGGGTAACACCACCTTATACAAAACCCAAGATAAAGTTAACGCTTTTACTTAACAGGTGAATTTACTTATTCGCCGTATTTTGTATGTTAATTTTAAGTATTTTAATGTATCATCACAAAACATAACCACAAAATATGTGTTACAAGACAGCAGATTCACGATAGCCATATATATTTGTATTTTTAAATCTAATCACTTGTATTATGAATAACGAACACTCAGTTACACTTACCGTGCAATCTTCTAACTTTAAAACTTAGAAAACATGCGCCTACAACGAAATTTTCCTTCACCATACACAAACGACTCCGATCAGACTGCCATAATAGCTCTGGACTGTTTGTATGCTCTCACCATAGATGTCAGTGCGAACAGAGCGCGCTGAATTCAAATCGTTCTTCTTTAGTCATTATCCTCGAGGTACACATTCATTCAGTTAATCCTATTAGACATTCCATCTCCAAATAACTCAAAGACATAGAGATGCCGGTAGATGGATGTGGTCTATGACACACTACATCAAACCAAAAACTAATGCATGCTATAGGTATTATAATCATATAATTTGCATAGGGTACATTTCTTTGCTGGTTTTCGTCACTACATTGTCTTATTCACATGATTAAATTAGTAGCAGAGGGGCATTTCTCTCTCCTTTGGGTTTTGATTTTGCATAAAACTTTCCAATTTATGATATGAGCTGCCAAGCAAGAAATATTATCAGAATATTTGTTTTCAGGCAACAAAGCCAGAAACACTGAGAAGACAAAACAAAAGGTCATAGAAAAATCTAAGTAATTGAATTCATAACCAGAAAAAGGACTACTGTTCTGATGATTCTTTTCATAATTAAATGAGTGGTATAGGGATATTTCCCTCTCCTTTGGGTTTTGATTTTGCATAAAACTTTCCAATTTATGATACGAACTGCCAAGCAAGAAATATTATCAGAATATTTGTTTTCAGGCAAAGAAGCCAGAAACATTGAGAAGACAAAACAAAATGTCATAGAAAAATCTAAGTAATTGAATTCATAACCAGAAAAAGGACTACTGTTCTGATGATTCTTTCCACTTGCACTGAGGTGAGAGTTATTGAAGCTTAATTCTTATATAAATTGCTTTAATAGGGATGTTGCCTATACACACTGCAACAAAAGTAAGGCACTTGAAATTTCCTTAATTAGTAACACATTTAAACAGCTTATCAAAATCCTACTGCAAACCTGAAGATAGACTTTTTTTTGTTTATCTTTATTTTTGGGACATTATGCTTATTTATAGGAGCCCAAATGAATTTCATTGTTTCTTATGTTCTGCTCATTTTATAATCCTTCTAAGGGACCTTCTACGGATCTCCATTGTTTGGACTCTTGTTTGCATTTGCTGTAATTAATTATAAAATTTTGACAGTCACATCATTAATTTCCCTTTCTGCATCTCTCATCCTAACTTCATAAAAGTTTTTACATTTTTTTTTGTTTATCTTTATTTTTGGGACATTATGCTTATTTATAGGATCCCAAATGAATTTCATTGTTTCTTATGTTCTGCTCATTTTATAATCCTTCTAAGGGACCTTCTACGGATCTCCATTGCTTGGACTCTTGTTTGCATTTGCTGTAATTAATTATAAAATTTTGACAGTCACATCATTAATTTCCCTTTCTGCATCTCTCATCCTAACTTCATAAAAGTTTTTAACAATATCCGATCTCTGACGTCTTTGTGAATGTATTCTACACTAAGATGCTGGCATCTTAAATGAAAACAGATCGTTTAAATGTTAGATCAGACTTTGCAATACATCAACACATTCACTCTCATCAATCACAAAGTAATGACAATGTCAAATGGGCGAGGAGTCAGAATATGAGACAAGTGAAAAGGTGTTATTACTCACAAGTAGGTCTGCTGGATGTACCTTCATTTAATTTCTGATGGAAGGATTGTGAAATAATATTCACATACTGCTCTTAATTGACTGCATCATAAAATATTTTTCTTCTCATAATTTTAACACATCACAGACCAACTGTCTGGTCATGTAACAGGTCCTTATGTTTGAGATGAGGATCTTCACTGTACAAATGACATGTCAACAAAATATATAAATGCACCAATAATATGAAATCTATCTTTTGATAAAATTATCAACAACAGAGGTGTTAGTCAATATATAGGTTGTCCAAGAAAGAGTGCACACAATTATAACATTTTTATTGAGAAAATAAACAGAGCCAGGAGCATCCAGTCTTCACGGCATGAAACAGCAACTCACAACGTTTCCTGCAAGATAGAATGGAAGAGGTGCACGACCTGCAAGTTCGCCGGAATTAACGTCGATGGATTTCTTCCTTTAGGGGCACACAAATCACTTGTTTGCAAGATGTGAAAAACTGCATCATCCATTATGTTGAAATTTGAGCCAACACTTTCCAGTCTTTTGAATACCAGATTTATATTGTGCGAGTAACAAAGAGAGCTCAAAGTTGAAGTACAGTGAAGTGGAAAAAAACTTCCTAATTTGCTGTTTCATGTGGTGAGAACTGTACTCCCCTAGTTCTGTTTATTTTCTCAATAAAAATGTTTAAAATGAGACCACTCATTCTCAGATTTCCAGCAAAAATGGCTCCAAGCTTACACACTAATCCAATAAATTATCACAGTTCATTGTTTCTAGTTAATAATGCAACACAAACACAAATAACCAGACTCTTGCTGAGTGCTACCAGTATACTGTCAGAGAATACATTTGAAGACAACTGGTGAACTGCATGATGCAGAAAAAATTAACTCTTAATGACTAATTCTTCATGACCGCAGTGTTCCACATACAGTGAACAGTATGTTTAATGCAGGACCCAAGGATCAGCAAGATTATTTGCACAGATGCTGGCAGGAATAACCCTCTTCAATGTGTGTATAAATGAATGGAAATCTTCTGCATGCCAAATAAAGCCTGTTTTATGGTTAACAAAAACGGTGAAGAATCTAGTCACTGTATACACTAACAGGAATAAAAACAACAATTTGAAATTGGATGTTCCTTCAAAACTAGACACATAATGGTAAAAACGATGTTTTTCAAAGGTTTGTAGAACTGTCACCATACCCAACAAAGATAATTTGCTGCAGTTTTATGACCTGTATATGCTACACAACTAACATTAAATGGCTCCAATGTCTTTCAGATTTCACAGATGCAGCACACAGCAGTGGTATGTCAAATCACATCTTTGTATATGGTGACACACATAAAATGTTAATGACTTCACATTTTAAGGTGTCTGTATATTAACCAAGAATCTAAAGCTTAAAGTTACCTGACTACATGATTTGGGTCCAGAAAAATTAAACATTTTCTAGGATAATTCACGCTAAAAAACATCCTTCTCACCCCTAATATTTGAACGATTAGTTGCTTGATTGGCTGGTTTAAAGTTGGTTCATCCCCAGATAATGTTCGGAACCATCAAGACATCAAATTATATTTAAAAACAAAAATTAAAAAACTTTAACCTAAAACTAATCTAACCTAATTTTTGTACCATAATAGCACGTTTTCTGTTTCAGACCATTAGTTATGTCACTATGAATTACTCACCAGAGCATTGCCGTGGACCATGTAAAGATGTGTCCTTCTCTTTACAACTCATTAGTGCGGTCATAAACAGCCTTGCCACGAATTTAAGGTCTTGTATGGGTAATGACCATAATTTTTTTCTTTCTTTGTCAAACATTGCTATTGAATTTCTAGCCCAAGATAACTTGTAAATATCATAAAGGGTATGAAAGAAATATCGGAAATATTCTTGCATTTAATGACCACATTTATCTGTTGTTGTTTTTGGGGGTTTATTTACTTTTACTAAGCCTATGAAACTATTTCAATTGAACTAACTCACCTAACCTGGATTTTCAGTTGTATTTACTTACTAGTAACACACACCATTTGAACTTACCACATGCAATTAGTCACCAAAGTGTAAAGATTTGTCCAGATTCGTTGAAAGCATCAGGAAGAAGCAGACATGCTTGATGAATATTAGGAAGTTTTAAGGTTAAGAATCCACAACTCCTAACTTTGTCTGTTAAAAAAAATGTATTCAAAAGGAAAGCCACCTTAAATGCAAATTAAATTAAAACACTGAAATTTCGTCATTATAATACAATTGCAGAACAGAAGGGTACAAAGAGATCTATGTTCCAATGCAACATTGTTGTTTAGATGCTGTGATAAAGCTCCTTGAAATCTTAGCTACTGAATAATACAGTAAAGCAACTACATGCACCGACCCCCATATCTCAAAGTATGAGCCTCAATAAAACTGCACTGGGCAAGAAAGGTAACTGGGATTCAATTCATGAAAACAGAAGGAATTCTTTTCACAGTATAAATCAGCCGGAGCATGAAGCTGATCACTCACTTCCATCCATTGCTGAGATAGGGTGGATTGAGTGTTACACCCCTTCTTCTAGGCAACATGGAGTTTTCCTCCGGGGGCTTCCCCAGTTTCTCTGTGGCATCCCAACAATTACTCCATTCACACACAGAAGAAGGCAATGGCAAACCACTTCTGGATCACCTGCCAAGAAGGTATATGAACAGGTCCCAGTCCGAGAAAAGGATGGAAGGATCCTGTTCATATGGACCTGTCATCAGACAGAACACTAAATAACATAAATGGAATGGGTTACCAATGCCCATTGGGTAAAAAGAAAAATCTCATTGTCCCACTTAGGTTTTAGACAAAACAGTTCAGAATGTTGTCTTGGATAGAGTTTTGATTCTACAAATTAGTTTGTAGAGCTCTAATTGTACCAAAGGAAACATCACAGTACAAAATGTTATTTTAAGTATACAGAGGGATAAAAAAGTCTCAGAGTTTTAAACTCTGTGTACTAGAATGCTGATTGTTTCTTCCTACTGTAATCATCTTTTGGCAATATTCAACATTATTAGGTAAACAAGAAAAGCTGCACTGTTCAACACCTAGAATGTTTGCTGCAGGTTCAAGTCATGTCCTTCTGTTATTCTCTCTATGTGCATTTGACACAACTAGGCACATGAGAATTGTGCTTTTTGTTCTCGGCACTAGTGGAGGAGAACATTGATCTAATGTTAAAGCATTCTTCCCCGACTTTTTGGCTGGAAATAGTGATTTCTCAGATGCAACTCGTAGTCTCCAGCTCTTGACTGGTTAAGTGGATATATTAACAGGTAGTACTTTAAAAGTCCGTAATCTACAAAGATGCCTCATGCAAGATACCCTGACTACATAAATGTGAAGGAGGGTACTTTTATGTGAAAGTTTGTACATAAGAAGGTACTGTAAAAATATATGAATGGAGGAAAAATTAAACTCATTTACAACATGAATGAATTAGCAAATGTAACAGAAAGCAGTTATGTAATTCTTCTGAAATATAACAATAGGATGTTTTCTAGGTCAGCATTTTATATAATATATGCAAATAATTACAAATAGCCACATAGTAGGGACTTCTCAATTGTATTCATTAAACATGATTGTGTTCTATTCCTAAAATAAAGCCAGGAAGTTCCTGTAAACACACGGCTGAAACGCCTTCATTGGTGACAACTGGAAGCATCAGTAAATCAAATGAGACAAATAAAACAGCTTATTAGAAGCACATTCTTTCTTTCACGTAAAAATGCCTAACAGGATTTTAATGTTCACAAAACGTTCTGAAAATGTCTATTATTTTGAATGCGTAACTGAGCTCTGTGCTGGCACTGGGACCCTGAAAAATTTCTGTTGTCACAGCCACTGATTCAAATGCCAAAGCTAGTCATTCATGTTGACTTGTTCCAAGTAAATTATGCCCCTGAGATGCCCTGACAGGAATAAGTTTGTAGGTCTAAAAACACAGGCCACAAAATCAATTTGGTTCATCTCGTCCATCAGCATGTGTGTGATGAGAGTCCAAACGCTACTTTAAGTTGCAGGTAAAATGAACAGGAGCTTCCCCATTCGTAAACCACAGTTTGTTACACTGTCAATGGCACAGCCAACAATATTAAATGTAATTCTGTTCAAATGTGAATAAGACGCTCTAAGAGTTGAAACACTAACAAATAAACATGAGGACATTACCTGTTATTCCTGTCCAAATATTACTTTTAAACTGATGTTTAAATGTAATTCTGTTCAAATGTAAATAAGACACTCTAAGAGTTGAAACACCAACAAATAAAGTGATATGAGGACATCACCTGCTATTCCTGTCCAAATATTACTTTTAAACTGATGTTTCATCACTGAACCCTCTAACAAGGCAACTGTGACCATTTGATTATAAGAGCTTCATCTTGGCTTGATTTTAGGAGTCGAACACAATCCTTATATATAACACACACAAACTCTTTGTTGCCATTATGAAGACGCACTTAAGGCTCTCAAGGAGGGAACAATTGCAAAGGCCATGTTAAAGTTCGAGAAGCAGCAACACAGAGTCAGAACTCTTAGCTGTAAGAGACTGTAGACTGTACTGGAATTAGTGTAATTTGATCAAAATGTTATTCATTTAATTACGATAAATTAACAGACACGAATTGTAATGACCATTCATTAGTACCACCAGGAAATCTGTCATAGATTTCACTGCATTTTAGTATCTAATGACCAGAAAGTCTTCAGATCTTTCTAGAGGGAACTCATCATCGTCATATTAAGTTCTTGCATCCAGACCTTCAAGAAATATATTCATTTAATTATGATAAATGAACAGACACCAATTGCAATGACCATTCATTAGTACCATCAGCAAATCTGTCATAGATTTCACTGCATTTTAGTATCTAATGACCAGAAAGTCTTCAGATCTTTCTAGAGGGAACTCATCATCGTCATATTAAGTTCTTGCATCCAGACCTTCAAGAAATATAAAACTGTAACACTTAAGTAAATTTAAAATGAATACAGAGAGATATTTACCATATACCAATATTAATATTCAAAATATCTGATCACTTAAAGCTTTAAAAAGTAATCTACAGTCATCTGCTGACAGAATGTTAATTCTGACCAGGAAGTGAGTAGTCAGGGACAGAGATTACTAGACCTATTGCCCTCTTAATTAAGTATATGGTGTATATTGTGTCAGCAAGCACTGTTTGCTTTTACGAACTTTATTATGACAAGTGTTCACAGTGCATTCATCTTTTGTATTAACTCACATGATCTTGAGTGTCAACTGCAGTTTCTTTTCAGTTGTTCAACCCATCCTGCCTCTGCCTCTGCCTCTCTGCATCTTCTCTTTGCTACTTAAGATTGGCGTGACTCTTGCCCCTTTTAACTTACTTCAACACCAAGAAATATATCTATTCCTTTTGAAGAATGATTCCCTTAACATTTTAGTTTTGTTTCCAGGATTTCCACCCTTTCTCGTTCTATTCCTGAGAAGGCCAAAACATGTGCCATGACGGAGGCTTTATGAAAAATGTTTATACTCATGTGTATGTTACACTGGTAAATAACAAAACATCATTTATTGCATAGATTCAAATAAACTATTAATATTATAAGTTGAATTACAAAGAGACGACATCTGAAAACCGGAGCCGAAATATCACTCGTCACAACCTGAACTTCAACACTGCTGAGAATTTCCTCTTCATTAAGATCCATTAGGCATCAGGACTGGAGCAATGTAAGAGCATGCCTGCAATACCAATAACAAAGGTCAAAAACTTAGGAAGGAAATTCAGATATAGTGGAACTTTATTAATATGGTGTTTAAGAGATAAGAAAAGATGTCTTATTAAGACATGATTATAAAGAGTATTTTTGTTTTAAAATGCAGACTAGGCCCATGACAATTAAACAAACGTCTTCATTATGTGTGAAGTCCAACAGTGAACCTGAACCTGAATTAGCTCAATGCAATTTACATTACCAATACCAATTTATTAAGTCATCTTTTACCACTGCACGGCACTTCCTCTGGTTGCAGGAGGAGAAGGCATCCAGAAATGGAGGACAGCTGAAAATCAAGTGGGATGCTAACAACTCCTCGCCATAAGAGGACTAACATATTTATATGGATCTAATTTTTTAACTAGCTGAGCGTGCTGTCAGCCTCTCAAAGATTATAATCAGTTTAAGTAGCCATGGGATCTGTGGACGTAAAACACATATGTGAAGTGAATCTTTCTTTCATCTACTGCAAACACAGGGAAAATGTTCTGTGCCTTCAAATTTAATGGCACACAGTGCCCCACACCCTGTTAAATTCTCGTGGGATGCTCTTCTTTCAAGTGCTTAGTACGTAGATACAGTGCTGCCACTGTATATTTGGTGCATTAACACACTAAGAGCCTTTCTAATAACACTGCAACAAGTGCACCGGGAACATCTTGAGTGCCTTCATATTTAATGTCACGCAGTGCCCCACACCCTGTTAATTCTCGTGGGCCGCTCTTCTTTCAAGCGCTTAGAACGAAAACACAGTGCTGCCAATGCGTATGTTGAGCATTAACAGACTAAGAGCCAGTTGGCAGTCTGACTGCATGCAGCCTTTGTAATAACACTGCAACTGCGCTGTCTCGTTCAAAAATCAGGGTCTGGAATAAGGCATGGGATGAAGGAAACAAGAAAGAAAGGAATGATGAAAGTAAGAAAGGAGGGAACGAAGAAAGGACTCCTGCTCTTGTATTAAATAAAAACTGATGTTTTCAATCAAGAGTCAATAATAATGGGACTGTGTAACAAAGGAATTTTAAGGAAGTGAACATCGATTTTGTACATGCTGTGATTCAGAAGCAACCTTCAACTCTGTGAACAAATGACTTTCAGGCCTGCATTCATAAATTCTTTGAGTTATCTTACTTCAGTGCATTGCACATGATGTGAGAGTCTTTCATCTAAATGTCTTGCTAATTCATGCTAAAATTTTCCATTTAACCCTGCAATATTTGTTGTTACAGACCTTAAATAAATTTCTGCTGTTTCTGTCTTTCTTCGGTTCACTATGTTCTAGGACACAGAACACTGAAACGTTTTCATTTATTTCATAATAATGAATTTTTGCCATTTGAATGGGTAATAATTCATGCAATTATGTTTGTTTCTAATTTGCGCTATATACAACTAACTCCATGGAACAGTCTCCTTCCTGAGAAACTAATATAAGCTCAGCTAATAAAAATGCTTTGCTTTTATGAAATCCGAAAATTCTCTATTCTGTTCATAAGTCAGACACTGGAACCTATCCTCAGCACATGACACCCCCCTCCCCCAAAAGGCAGGGGATGTTAAGAGTATGTAATGACTTTTCAAAATGTGAAGATGCCAGTTCCAATGAAACAGTAGACATTCATGCACGCAAATACCAGCTGAGGTGCAAGGCCAACCACAGCATTATTAAGTTTTATAACCCTCAGCCTCCAACACTTGGTGCTGCAAATAAACTCTGTTGCTTTGCACCACATAATACAACATAAGACAAAGCACCTTCCCTCACCTCACTCTCGTTGCCACACGTACTGGCTGGCGACAGAAAGGAAAGATCGTTCTCTGCAAAATGTTCTTCAGGGGCAGTGAGGTCCTCACACTCAAGATCCTGTGCACATGCCATCCCAGTTTATGCCCTGATGAAGCACAAACATTAGAAGGACGTACTAGAATACTGATTGAAGAGTAAACTGTGATAAAGCAGAAGAGAGAGCACCTCAATTTAATCTTAAAACTTTGCACACCGTGTAGTGTATTAGAATATAGAGTAAGCAAACCAACAACTATTAACACTATAATAAGACACTATTGCCATACGTGTTTCGACCTCAAGAGGTCATCATCAGTGATGGGATCAGCTGTGTGAGCTTGTAGCATTGTCTTGCATGAAGAAACCATAAGTCTTTTCTTCATCGGTCATTTCTTGGAAAAAGGGTGTAACTATTAAATTTACATAACGTTCACAATTTATTGTTTCATTATAAAATATTGGCCCTATTATTCTCTTGGAGGTAACTGCACACCAGACTCCAACCTTAATGTCATGAAGAGGATGTTCATGCAACTGATGTGGATTTTCGGAACTGAAGTAGCGGTTGTTTTGAGTGTTGACATATCCACTTAAATGCAGCCATGCTTTATCATTAAAAAACAATAGCTCTGGATTAACAATCCCATCATGCATGGATCCCAACAATCATTTGCAGAAATGAATCCTAGCACCAGTGTCAGGATTTGTGAGTCTCTGAACAACAGTGGTCTTATATGGTCGCAATTTCAGAAGTCTCGTTGCTGTGTGAGCAGATCCCAATGACACGCCAGATTGTGCAGCTAAACGTGCCAAAAATTTCCTTGGACTTTTTTCTAAGAAAGCCCCAATTTCTCTTCCGTCAATACACTCTGTTTCCTGTTCTTCTTTTTATTCAAAACTGATCCCGTACTACGAATTTTTTTTACTAAGCTCTCTATCACAGACCTGCTAGGAACACTTTCACCAGGAAAATGTCTGCGATATTTACGGCGACATCTTCCGTAGGATGAATATTTGGCATGTTTCGACTAAGAACACACATTGCTTAATACTATATGAGAGACGCAATGAAACTGATTCGCACACAAGTCCCACCCACGTCAACAGAGCGCCGGCTGACCACGCAATGCAAGCACACCCTGAGTCTCATAAATTGTAGACTCTGTATTTTAGTAACAGGGTAATAAAAACAAAAACATCATTCAACAGAATTAGAGATTAAATGATTTATTTAGGGTTTATTAAATGATAGTTCCAATAATGAGATGAATACAGCGCTGAATAATAGGATAAGTGAATAATTAATTGGAAAGGATTGGCCTAATTTAAGGTACCATCCTGGCATTTGTTCACAGGGACTGAGGAAAACCACAAGAAACTTCAATCAGGATAGTCAGTCCCTAGGCCAAGATTTGAAACCTGGTACAGTAGTAAGGGTGAATCTCTGCATTCCGCATTTATTCAAAGTTAAAGGCAATGGAACTACACAAGTGCGAGGGGTGACAGATAAAGCACATACTGCCCATTCCATAAACATTATTTCCTGGAAGCATTACTTTGCAGCTTGCTTTCTCACCTCCTAGGTCTGTAAGTGTTTGGATTACGTAGTACATGCATTTGTATTCCTTACACCTGCAAGACAGTCATGTAAACAAAACATTCAGTTTGATCCCAGCTACAGCAACCAAAGTGTGCTAACCACCTTACCATTACTTTTTGGCATAATAAATATATCTGATAAAGTATGGGACAATGGGAGGAAAATAAAGTGATGAAACTGTTTGGATGGAAGGAATTTTTCATTAATTTGTCATGAGATGAAATGGCTGGTAAAAGTAAAGCATTCCCTACAAGGGCCAATGTTGGCACTTACGGGAGAGGAGGTATAGCTAATACTCATTTTCAACCTCAACACTAGAAGGGGGTCAGTAGTTAGTGTCACGCTCCAGCCACGCTTTACCCCCAGGAAAGGACCTCATTGTCCACTGGACGTGATGCTGGATGGACTCTTAAGCCAGTCTGCATGTAGAGGTTAGAAAAAAATCCTTTTTCTCCATTGGAGACTGAACTGTGATCTTCTGGCCAGTAACCACTCGCTACATCGGCTGAGCTACCTGACTCACAATGAATTTTGCAGTTGCTTGTACAATAAAACAAATATTTCAAGAAACATAACTGTTGACTTCTGCAACACAGGCAGTTTTTCTTAATAAGTAAGACTTTTATGGATTTATTTAAAGAACTCCCATATGTGACGTGACATAAAATATGTTGTAACAACACAGCACAAATACTGTACACCAAAATATATTTGGTATGAGTGAAGGGGCCCATAAAGCAAACTTTCCACCAATGCAGATTCAATTATGGTTGTGAAAATAAAGAAAAACAATTATTTTCATAATGAAGAAAACACCCTGCAGCAGCACACTAAATGCCACTGCTGTTTAGAAAACTAAATTGCTCGTTCCTACCCATGGTGTATCTGACGAGATGGAGTTCGGTGACTAACTTTATGCTAAAATGTTATCTTAAAAACTGCCATTTCATTATTTCATTTTCATGAATTTATTGTTTAGATACTTGACTTTCCACACCTGAGTCCTCATATCCCCAATAATTGTTAAGGGTCCATGTACATTATTACAGCACTTAAATGTTTCCCTTGGCAGAATCGCAACTACACACTTCTGAGTGCAGGCCAATAGAAAAATTGTTATTGATTTGCGATCCATTGCAGTAAGATCATATTCAATTCAATTCATTTATTTAAGTGTTTGCCAACAGCAAGAAGCCAATATCAGGCAAACACTGATAATACGTACAATAATAATGAAAAACATTACACAAACAGATTAATTAAACTTATACATTTACAGTATTAAATATAACAGCCAAATACAGGCAAGGCCAAAATAGAAACAATATTATACACAAAGAAAAATAAATGAAGAAATATAAATAAAAGCAAATAATCCACCTAGGGAACAATAATATAATTGTAAAATGTTAAAGAAATGCTGAAGGACTGTGTCTTAGCGCACTGCTCACACTAAAAGTACAAAATTCTCTTACTTGCCTCGCCGGCACACGTAAACCAACAGCGTCCATAATGGAATATCGCATTAGGACTTGAGTAACTGCAGCTTCTACTGGTCTACTTCAATCCTTCGTATGTTAAAACTAGACTGAGACAGGAACTTTATGGCCTTCAAACCAGATGTTTGATAGAATTCAACGTAACATTACAAGACACAGCCAAGAAACATTTGACAGACAACATTTCGAAACAATCTATTGACGAAGAAGGGTGAAACAATCAGGCCTAGACAGGAACTTCTACCAGACTATACAACTGGGAACACAGTCATCAGCCTACTGACTGCCATCAAGAAACTTGAATCTTAAGAAAATTAAATTTCCTGAAAGTACTGCTCCTGTAAAGCCTATCAGTAGCACATCTGAACCTTTCAAACTTATTTTTACATTTCTTCATTTTCAAACAAACATTTACAACAGATACTAAAATATGTAGTGCACAGTTAATAATTTAAAAATACATTTCTTAATTAGAAACGCGTGGAGTGTTTGTATAATTGGTTTTTGTATGATAATCACCTTATCGTATTTACAGTTCAATGTCTCCAGTCTTACCTGTAGCTTACTGGCTCTTACAGTCTGGTTGATAAATACAAATATCTATTCATAAAAAGAATTAAAAGTGTCAATACAATTGTAAGTGTGGAGACCCCATATACAAAACAAGCATTGGAGGAAGTAATATCACGCGCATATGTGCATCGTTCCAGATGGTCGCTCACACCACTATGCAGCAATCAAGAAAAAGTGATGTGTGGACAGAGGAGTGGTGTGCTCTTTCATTACAAGGAATTTTTGTGAAGGTTGTGTTTACGCTTAAAAATAAAAATAAATCCGTGGCGTAACAGCTCCAGAGAGCCAAAGCCGACTAGCTTGACTGCTGGCCTCACGTTCACATGCCTAAGCAGAGGTGAATGATCATCCAACCAGATATAGGGTGACGTGTGATCAGCACGACGAACCCCCAGCCATTGCTAGTTTTCATGACCGGATTACGCTACTTATTGTAGCTCCCCAATTTCCTCACGAGAAAATTTCTTCTCCCCTGAGACTCGAACCAGCGCGCATTCTGTATCGCGGTACGAAGCATGATGCCTCAGTCCGCGCGGCTACGGTGCGGGACGTGTTTACACTTGGCAGGATTTTATTTGGGAGCAGATTTTCTAGGCTTTACGTTTTGATATGGGCAGAACTGAAAATCTCGTAAAACGGTAATCTCCGTAAATTGAGCAAATATATAACACCAACTATTGCCAATCTTTCATAGATGCCTGTCATGTCTGTCTATCAATCTGTATGTAAGAAATCAAAAATCGTTTATCAGATTTTCACTATAATAAAATTCACTGACACATTCCAATTCTGGTTGCAATACGGACAACAATAACACACGCTTCGTATAAAGACATTAAAATGAGAAGAGAATATATGATTTAGGATCTTGCAAAAACAACATTAGATCTTCATTATATAAAGCTAGGAATTAGGCAAACTTACGAAGAAACTATACTCTCAGTAAACTTGAAAGCATGCAGGAATTGAAAAACTTTATACATTCTATAAAACTGTTTGCATAAACTTACGAAACCCTCCAACACGTGACATGAAGCAAACAAGTTTCATAACTAAACAGAGATAATTAAGTGACTTGGCTAAATGTACTACAATGGTTAAAACTTCATTCCACCTTTTCTTTACTTTTGTCAAGTTTTCTAGTTTCATTCTGACATCAGTGCCAAGTGGAAGAAAGAAACATTTGGAATTTTCCTTCAGAATGGTAAAAAAAGACCAAACATGCAACTCACTACTTAAATGGGATGCCATATTATCGCTCAGCTCCTGCCCTGGTGTGTGGGCAGAGACAGCCGAGAAATATTGGCTAAATGTGCTGTTCAGTGAAGCCACAAAGGCTCCATATGAATTCCCTCCTCTGGGGGTTGTGTCGTGGTAGACGTCGAAGCCCACCACCATCAATCCCTGAAACAACTGAAAATCTCCTAAAACGGTAATCTCCGTCAAACTATGTGGCTGCAAGTTTATGTATTCCTGATAACATGACTGGCTGTGGCTGTGAGATGTCACAAACGACCAAGTGTTTGAAGTAACTTTGTGAGCAGAATAGCTGCATGTAGATCAGAACACACATAATCATTGCTTTCTTCATCAGTGCCAACACAAGTGATTGTGAAAGGCAGCTTCAAACCCATGCATGTGAAATCCATTGCTGAGAAAGTGGCAGCTCAGCTTTGGTGTAAAATTGGAGGTGCTCCTTCGACTATTCAAATTCCAATCAGTGTAAGAAAACAGTTTTACCATTCATCTACATTATGTAGGCTGGTTATTTGCATTTCGTAGGGGCTTAATTTCTTCCCCTGCCTTGTGCCAGTTAAATGCTGTTGATAATATAATTGGGCCTGTGGTAACCCCCCCTACCTAAAAAAATATTAAAAAGCTGCCATAGACAGTATAACAGCAGATGATCTGCTATTCCATTCATGAAATAAATTGTTTAAAACTATGATGACAGTTTGTGTAATTCTAAAAAATGCTCGTAACGTGTACTCATATTATCCAAAAATGATTGCTATATATAATCTGAAGTACATCCCTTAACTTAAAATCAGAGTACAGTATGGCACTAAGTTTAAAAAAAAATGTGGGTAGGACATTTTATTCTTTTTTAAAGTGAATATTGAGATAATGAAAGTTAATTAAGAACTAAGCAATCTTGGTCGCCTTCGGTGGACAAGTGGGTAGCGTGCTCACCACTGGACCCAGGGTTCGCGGGTTCAAACCCGGCCAAGGTCGATGGATTTTTAATGGTGATAAAAACTGCAAATTCCTTTGGAGGGTAAGTAAAGCTGACCATCCCATATCGTAGATCGGTGCCTGGGGGGTATTACTGGGCCACCCTGTCTCCAGGATAAATAAATACAAAGAACTGATCCTCCAGGTTGGTGGCTGGACGTAAGGCTGACGACCTTACTCTGTAAAAATCAGTTGTTGCGAAAGAAAGAAGTTAAATATGGGTGGTGCATCATGGGAAGAGATGGTAGAAAAGAGAAACCCCAAGAGTCAGTCTTACGTGCAGCACCCACTTGGTGTTGCCAAGTGTCTAGTATTCAGAACCAGAGGGTGTATAATGTGGAGGATTCTCTGTATGTTTGTTTCAGGGATTGATGGTGGTGGGCTTCGACGTCTACCACGACACAACCCCCAGAGGAGGGAATTCGTATGGAGCCTTTGTGGCTTCACTGAACAAGACATTCAGCCAGTATTTCTCGGCTGTCTCTGCCCACACACCAGGGCAGGAGCTGAGCGATAATATGGCATCCTATTTGAGTGGTGAGTTGCATGTTTGGTCTTTTTTTACCATTCTGAAGGAAAATTCCAAATGTTTCTTTCTTCCACTTGGCACTGATGTCAGAATGAAACTAGAAAACTTGACAAAAGTAAAGAAAAGGTGGAATGAAGTTTTAACCATTGTAGTACATTTAGCCAAGTCACTTAATTATCTCTGTTTAGTTATGAAACTTGTTTGCTTCATGTCACGTGTTGGAGGGTTTCGTAAGTTTATGCAAACAGTTTTATAGAATGTATAAAGTTTTTCAATTCCTGCATGCTTTCAAGTTTACTGAGAGTATAGTTTCTTCGTAAGTTTGCCTAATTCCTAGCTTTATATAATGAAGATCTAATGTTGTTTTTGCAAGATCCTAAATCATATATTCTCTTCTCATTTTAATGTCTTTATGCGAAGCGTGTGTTATTGTTGTCCGGATTGCAACCAGAATTGGAATGTGTCAGTGAATTTTAGTAAAACCTCTGATTTCTGAATGCTAGACACTTGGAAACACCAAGTGGGTGCTGCATGTAAGACTGACACCTCTTCCCATGATGCACCACCTACATTTCACTTCTTTCTTTTGCAACAGGAGTACCAGGTCTCTGTATTTATGTCCCCCAGAGACAGGGTGGCCCAGTAATACCCCCAGGCACTGGGTTCCCTTTTCATCGCCTTCTACGACTCGCAGGGCTACGGTGGAGGTATTCTAACCCGCCTCCACACGGGAATAATACTACCATCACTCACACCTTATTGTAAATCATGCTGTGTAATAGAGAAATTATAGATTTTTAATTTATTTCTATAATGTTTGTTTCTAGGAAAGACTGAGATTCGCTGCAAGGATACAAGGTTATGTATGTGTGAGAAAGTCTCTGACTGCAGATAATGCTAGTCACCTAGCATGCATCTTATTCTAGTAGTGAATCAGGAGAGACTTGTGTGAGAAATGGCCACTGAAAGAAACGATTATATATATATATATATATATATATATAAGTTCTGGCCTACATGCAGCTATTCTGCTCATAAAATTACTTCCAATACTCAGCCATTTGTGATATATCAAACCACAGACAGCCACGTGATCAGGAATACATACAAGCTGCACCCCCCGTGTGGTATGACGGATATTACCGTTTTACGAGATTTTCAGTTGTTCTGCCCAAATGAAAGAAAATAAGCTCCCAAATGAAATCCTGCCGAGCATGAACACAACCTCCACAAACATGCCTGTAGCAAAGGAGCACACAACTCACCTCCGTCCACACAGCACTTTTTCTTGATTGCAGCATAAGCGACCGTCTGCAACGATGCACATTAACAACTGGGGTTCTGTGCGTGAAATTACTTCCTTCAATGCTTCGACAAATGACGACGGGCGTTCATTTGTAACATCATGGCTAAAGAAAGCACATTATAATTATATTGGTTTGTAAAACAGATTCTCTGTGAATGTGAAACATGCCGAAAATTTATTTACAGGTTCCTGGGGACTGGCAAAGTAAACATTACACTTCTACAATATTGTTGTGTCACCTGTAAAATATTCTCCTACTGCACTGATACATTATTGTAAGCATTTGTGTATGACAATGAAACAGCCACATAGGTATTTCTTGTAATACCGTGCAGATGTGCTATAACAGCTGATTTGAAGCCCAGTCATAACTATATATACCATCTGAATTAATATTAAACGACTCCTCATTTCGCCCAGTGCGTGTTTCACGATTCTCAGACTAAACAGCAATTATTTGTGTAAACAAAGTTAACCAACGGACATGTATTGTGTTTTCTTTGAGGTAGGAAATATTAATATTAAGATTTGGTTTCAAAGGATTAATGGCATTACCATCAACATAAAGAATGTCTTTATGTGCCTGAACAAATGAAGATGCATGGAAATAAAATAGTGGCTTGATATTTTTGCCAGTGCTTTAGACACAAACTGCAATATTTGGCATTTACGTCTGTGCAGGATACACAATTTTCCACAATGTCCACAATTCAGTAAGCTGGCAACAAATGTTTCAAAATATTTTTGTGAAAGTGTTAGCTGGTGAACGGTTTCTTTGTGCACTCTACATTTACAACTGAAACAATCAATCAACACATGTTTTATTTCTGATGGCTGGGCATCAACCTTCTCCATTTTGCACTTTGTTGACAAGTTTGTGGATCGTACCAAGTTACACACCCACCAATAAATCGTGCATTCACTATGTGCAGTTTACAAACGTTTGGCAAAATTATACGAAAGCACATCCTCTTAATTAGCAGTTATTACAATAATACAGCGGAGCACAAAGCGGAAGACCAGCCAAATTCAGCATCATACTCAAATGTCTGCTGTCCACAGACCAGGAGAAAAGCCCTGCGGGGGGGAAGTCGGTTCTGGTGCGGTGCAGGGGGATTGTTTATCAGGTGGTCTAGAGGGCTGCTATTGGTGGAAGTGTGACATGACATAGTTTTACACTACTGCACAGACTGAGAACATCAAGTAGTTCAGAGTAGCGTGTAGTGAGCGCACTTGTAATGTGTTTTGTGGGTGTTCTGATAATATTCTAGATTCAATCGCTGTGCCACTGTGAGGTAATCTTAAAGCTGTACCCAATAGAACACACGAAAGCCTGTCGTCTGTTGTTCGTTCAGTGGTTGTGGAACGAATGATTTTAGGATGGGTCGTCACTCACCGCGAAATCTTGCGCATGCGCGCATATCAAATTCCTAGCAGGGATTTTCTCCTGGTCTGTGGACTGTACCTTCATGCTCTGAACAGTTGTACCACTAAAATATGTGTGAATATGACAATGTTGGATCATCAAGTGCTTGCCACAATAGGCTGCAACCCATGGCAGAAATGTTATCTTAAGGAAAAGCCTATGTTCACTTTTCTCTTCAGTTCCCACTATGAACTGGTGTTACAAAGGGACGTAAAAGCGCATGAGCACAAGCTCAGACCCTCTACCAGGTTGGGATTAATAAACCCGTATAGTTTCTTATTATCTTCTTGTTTTGGATCTACAGTCCTTAAAATACCAGGCCTCCTCACGCATGGGAGGTTTTTTAATCTATTTAGACATTTGGTAGGACTCCTTAAATGGGAGATCAGCCCATCACAAGGCCTCTACCTATTCAGAACAGCACAACGCAGAAAGACACTGAAAAACATCCGTGCCTGAGTAGGATAATAACCAACAGTCCCAATGTCCAAGTGATGAAGGCCCATGACCCAGACCATGCAACCACTGTGACCAGCCCTGTCTAGTTTTAAACTTTGTATATATGATCAGTTGATAACATAGAGTACATTTTTAAAAATGTCTTCACAGAAAAAAGTTGTGTAACAAAGAATGTTGACACATTGCAAACATAACATTTTCATACAAACATAAATAAAATGGCAGAAAGCCATTTTAAGGTAAGGTAAGCAGCACGAATTTGAAGATGAAACACTTATACAAACGAATGTGTCTGGGTCATGAATTTCCACTTACAAAATACAAACTGCATTGAGGCCCATCTGGCTAACCAAGGGGTGCTTTTGTTTGTTATCTTGTTATTTTTTTGCACTACCTGTATTTTATTTACTTCAAAGCACGTAAAACCCAGACACCTTATTTTCAAACTTTCAATTGCAAAAATAAGGGTGCGCGTTATATTAGTCAATGCGGTACCTCTTCTGCTGAACTACGTTATCAATTCCAACTTTTGGAGAACAAGCATTAAGCTGTAATAAAACACATATTTCAGATTTCCAGTGTATGTGAAAAGTCAGAGTAAGGGCAACTCGCAAATATGGTTGCGGAATGACGAATCTCACGCCCTGAGCGGCACGAATCAAAGAGGATACAAAGCGTTGAGCATCACTTATCAAACTCTTTGGGCAGATCACAACACACTCTTGCAGTTGAGGCGTCATCAACATTGGTTTACCTGAGAATAAAACAGTATTATTAATTCACACATGAGCAAAATATTCACAGCGATAAAGAAATTTATACTGTTTCTAGTTTAAAGGTAAAGACCAGGTTCTATGATGAGCAAGAAAATCTGCAAGTTGATATATAAGCCTCCATTTGGTCATTAATATCAACAAGAGCTTCCAATATCACGGTACAATCTTCAGCAAACACTGCACACCCGCACACCCTATAGGACTAGGTTGTAAAAAAGTGTTTCATATGAACATAACAGAATTTTTTAAATAGTATCTTGTATGTGCTGCAAGAGGCTGATAAAGACTTTGTCAAATATGCCTTCTGCGACCTAAGGCTTTTCCACACTTCATGTCAGTTGTCCAGACCTGTCCTACGGGCAGACGAGCCACGGCAAAAGACAAAACTATATAATGTGTACACACTTAATAATACCGAGTCTTCAATTTATGCGGTAACAGCCTTGCTTGCGTTGCGTGGTCGGCTGGCGATCTGGCGACGTCGGCCGGACTGGTCCGTGTTCTTCCCGTGAACACAGGCGAATCAGTTTCATTTCGTCTCTCGTCGCGGATTGACGTTGTTAATATGGTGTATAGTATTAAGCAACGTGTGTTCTTAGTCGAAACATATGCCAAATATTCATCCTACAGAAGATGCTGCCGTAAATTTCGCAGACTAGATAGAGAGCTTAGTAAAAAAAATTTCGTAGTACGGGATCAGTTTTGGTTAAAAAGAAGAACAGGAAACGACAATTAATTTCGGCAATTACCCCAGAAGAGCTTCGTCGAGTATTTCAAAACATGTTAACGAGATGTGAAGTTGCCTGCAAGCACAAGGAAGTCACATTGAACATCTTTTGTGATTTAAGGCAAGAACAATTAATGTAATAACATGTATCAGTGACGAGAAACACTCGCAGCTCCTTGATATTAGCGGCACTGAAACTGATTCGCCTGTGTTCACGGGAAGAACACGGACCAGTCCGGCCGACGTCGCCAGATCGCCAGCCGACCACACAACGCAAGCAAGGCCGTTACCGCATAAATTGAAGACCCCGTACCATGTTTTCATTGGAATACAGAAAATGCAGTAACAAGTGTTTATCACCACACTTCATGTGCTTCATTACAAAACACATTTTGCAATGATTCTGTATTTAAATACAAATAAGAACTATGCAAGAACTAAAGTTAGATAAAATAAACACTGAAATATAAAAATAATATTTTGTGGCTGGTGGAAATATTGTCTAATTTATGGACAATGAGAATAACTTCTGACTTGTTATCATTGTTCAACAACTGTCTTATTGTAACCAGCAACTTTATTTCCTGGAATACCAACTGTAAACAAACAGTACGGTCTTCTGGGCCATGACAATGTGCAATTTTGTAGATGGCAGCAAAAATGGAGGTAGTATGTTGGTTTCTACCTACAAGTCTACACGGTATCACAACTCAGATGACAAACATCATCTTCACTGCAGTGAGATCTTCATATCTCACACATTTTTCTTTGTTAGCCAACCTGCTGAAACTAAAACATAAGACTACAATATTTATATTTTATCTGAAACTTACCAAAAGAACTTTATTTTCTGCATCTATTAGCAACCTGTGTTTTAAATACAGCAGCCCGCTTAAAGAGAAGTTTCAATCCATAGTTCGCATTTTCCTATCCAGAGAATGTGAATGAGGTTTCACTGTACACATTGATTAAAAATGCAGGGGATTCAAATGATGCTCACCTGTTGACTATTTGAATCCCCATGAATATCAAGAGTAGGGTACGGCAGCGGTCAGCTCCTAATTGAACACTTTTGATGTGAGGGACCCAAGCTTCCAGATGCACACACGAAAAAGAGGTGTACCTGATTCATGATGAGTATGTCATTTTTATTAGGTATTAATGAAATATTATACTTACCATGTGATAGTTGTGTGATCAGAACGCTCAATAATGCGCTCTATCAATCTGTAGATAATATCAACATATGATCCTCCACTCTCTAACTCTTCCATATGCCCATCTACCACTAGATTGATCAGCTGCTCAATCGGATGACGTGACGCATCTTTTGAAACTTGACCAGAGAGGGTTCTATTGCTATAAAACTGCAAAAAAAATATAATGTTTTGATATATTAAAAACTGATCTGTAAATAACTCTGTCCAAAATGAGCATCAGAATTATTTCACATTTGAGAAAATGCTTTTTGGAATTTCCAGAACGTGGTCGTTCTTTGTTCTTCGTAACAATAAATTCATAAACACAGACCACACAATACGCTGAAAGGTCTACGGACACCACATACTGTAAGTACTGAACTGTAAAAAATAATCTCTAAATGAATTCTTGCTTCCATTTTGCAAAGTGGAAATAAAAACTACAAGCTGGTTTGTATGCTACATTAATACATCATCAACAACATTTGACTGCCTTTTACTGTGGTTTTCTTTGGTGCATTTTCTCAATGGAAAAGCCATGCAAATGGGTTTTCATATTCTGCCTACTTTTACAGTATTGCCAACATAAATTCTGAGGTAAACAAAACTTCCTTTCCATTTTGACTTTGACTCACCGACATCAGCAACTCAAAAAGGGCTCAGAATTCACTTGCAATGTCTACTCTGGGAGTGCCCTCACATTGGTTTGAGGTCAGCAGTCGGAGTTGCTCGACACACCGCAATACCAGTTGGTATGCTTTCCTTCCAATTTCATTGCCGCAGTTGTCCGTAGCTGTTTGGCAGCTTCGATTGCCACCTCTATATCAGGGCTGCCAATGTCACGTATGAAGGAATCCAGTAACCTGTCTGTCTTCTTATCCATGTTATGTAATAACTTCAGTTGGAAAGGTTGTAATGCGTTGGATAGCCAAACAAAACAAAATCACAAACCATAAAATTTAAACAGCTATATCTGATATGATAAATAAATACAAAAATAAGTTAGTTCATTTTGAGAAACCAGAATTATTTCTTAGACTAGACTATGTTGACCTTCTTCCTTTAACTCAGCAATTTAAGATAAGACCAACTAGCCTGAACTTAGGTTTCCTTGTCTGTGCGGTAACAGTATCAAGTAGGCCACTACCACTTCCTTTCAAAACCCTCAACTCAAAACTTTCTATAATATTATATTCTACGCAACCTACGAAGCTGGCATTCAAGTAACCTACTGACCTACCTCATTTTCATTCATTCACGAAACAGAAGTGCTCCTTGCATGTGTCGCCACAACCCATTTTAACCTCAGCACAATATTTTCATATCATGAGAAATAGACTTTATTACTAAATATTTTTTAAAAAATTAAAATATATGAGAATAATAGCAACAGATGAAAATTGCATCAATAACGAAATTAAGAATAGATTAAATTTGGGAATGTTTGCTACCATGCAACAATCTTTTCTCTTCCCATCATCTTCATCTTCTTCCATGGCTCTCCGGTCCATGGCCTCCTCAATTCTCCTCTTCCATTCGGTCCTCTGTTAGGTCCGTCAGTCCGAGGCTTTGATCGAGGTTTTGAAACATCTTCCTTTTTACGGTGTAAGGTTGTTAGCCTTGCGACCAACCCCCAACCTGGAGGACCAGGGTACCTGTCTTAGTCTGACCTCTCCCCCTCGACCAATCTGGCTTGGGAGGCCCTACCAGTAGCTCTTGGGATCACTGAGGTACTCAAGCCCCACCACCACGACAAGGTGCAGGTACCATTAAGTGGGGTCGCTTCCCATCTACTACATAAAAACAAACTGTAATGTAACCTGCTGTTTGATATGATTATGAAACATGATCTCTCACATTACTGGCAGAGGGTGTTTCAGAACAGGCTGAAGAGAATATCTGAAACTAAGAGGGATGAAGTAACAGGTCAGAGAAAATTGCATGAGATGTTCCATAATTTATATTCTTCCCCAGATGTTATAAGGATGACCAAACAATGAATGATAAGATTGGCACGGCCTATACAGTATGTGGGAAGGGGGAGCAGGAAATGTGTAAAAAACTTTGGTTGGAAAGCCTGAATAAAAGGAACCAATCAAAAGACTGAGGCATAGATAAGATAATAATATTAGATGGCTCTTAAAGGGAGGGGTGTGGATTGAATTCATCTGGCTTAAGATGGGAACTAATGGAAGGCTATTATTCTAAACATGATAATGAACCTGAAGGTTCCATAGTAGGCAGGGAATTTCTTGTATACGTGAATGATTATAAGCTTCTTGGGAAGGATCCTGCTACATAGAGTAAATCAGTTAGTTATTACTGAATGTTTATTGTGAATTGACACAATTGCTGCCCCCTGTTTCTTGTCTCATTAATAATCTATACTTTCAACTTGCATATTAGTGTCTTTAAATGCCATGTATTGTGTTACACATCTTTCTTATCACATTACCATAACACACTTCAGTCTTTAAATAACAACGATATACAATAGCTATAGTAAAAGAGTTGTACAGTAATTTAAAGTTTTCTTTCAGGACTTCTGTTTCATAACTACTGGTAAAACATAGTTTGTAAATTCTGTTCATTTCCAAACAGTTGTCAATCTGCAGTCTATGCAAATCCCATGAAGATAAACAGATGCTTTTACTTAACACATAGATTCATATATTCGGGGTGTTTTGTATGTAATTTAAAGTATTTTACTGTGTAAGTACAAAATATTACCACAAAATAAACGTTGCTTGGAACTTGCATTCAGACTATACAGAGAAAAAAATGACACCTGTAATCACACGTGGAACACAAAGCATGTTTCCCAGATAAAATCAACTACAGAATCTATCTAATAGATCGTAAGCGGGGGCTGACAAAAGATTTTATGCCGTCACACTTCCTGGTACCTGGACAATTCATCACCAGAAAATTTAATTACCTCAGCAGTGGTTCACGTAACATTATTTATTCCTCCCTGAATACGATATGATAAAAGACTGCAGAATCAGAAGGATATACATAAATATTCATACTTTCAAATATTATCAACTGTTTTAAAAAAAATAAACTATAACTTACACTTATCGTGCAATCTGTTAACTTTTAAACTTGGAAGAGATTCTCTTACAACGGAATTCTTCTTCACCATTAACAACCCACGCCAAGACCTACCGCCATAACAACTGTAGACTGATTGTATGATGTCACTACAGATGTCACTGCGAACTGAGCGCGCTCAATTCAAATCGTTTGAAATATAACGTAGCCTGATTCAACCACTTTTTCCAATACTCCTCAAATCTTCTCGGAACAAACGGCGAGGCCGTGTAACAGGTATCTTAAGCACAGCAGTGTCCCAATATGCCATTAATACACACGCATAATTATAACAAATCATACACTAAACCACACACCGACAGTGTTTATTACAACCAAGGAGACGCCTACACCACAAATGGCTGTCCTTGGCGACCTGCTCAGTTCCTGACCCTACTACTTTAAATCAATGGCTTTAAATGTTTCCATACATAGGCCAATGCATATACATTGTGTAATTATGCGGTCAGCAGGAGCTTGCTGAGACCTGAAATTAATAACTGTAAAAGCAGTTCATATAAGATTGGAAACTGCGGTGAAATATTGATAATATTAATTTCTCTATCCAACTACAGACAACCTAGCCATTTCAACTTGGCTATTTCGAACACATGCAGACTGCAGTTTCGCAGCGCATGGAACTTCCTTTGTTTCTAACTCACGTAATAGAAATGAGTGATCTACGATCTACATCACAGTTCGAACCCAAGGGATGTGCATTTATAATATTTAGTCCTTACCGTTTTCAGTATGTTACAGCGCTTCTAACACTGTCATCCCTTTTAAGCGATTACAATTCGCTTTTCTTGAAACACTCGTCATAGAAGGTGACTCTTCTGCCATCTGACAAGCAAGATACTTTAAAGGACGAGAAATAGGAACTTCTTCTTACAGACGGCAATGAACAAATTTCTTATCTATGTAGAAACTACATTGAAAGTCCAGGAACCAGGATAGACGTATATAAAATGTCGAAAACCTACAAGCCATCATGAAAATTTTAGGCTCCTGCCTTTATGGTGCCCGGTTTATATGCAGCCCGAATTAAGATTATAGATATTTAACGATGGTGTTAAGAGCGAAAGCAACGCAGAACTTGGGCTGCATGGAATACAGTAAAATGTCCCTAACTCTACATGAAATTTTGATTCCTCAGTCTGTTGTTAGGGTGGCAACACTGAACCAATACCCAAACAGAAGGTACACCTGAAGGAAATAATTAAGATAATGTGTTGTTTCTGTCTCCTTCGACAGCCGGATATTTGTGAGAAGAGAATTCCTAGCTTTAATGCAATGCGGGGTAGGAAAAGTTTTATTTAAACATCAGAATGCAGACATTAACTTATCCAAGTGGCAGTGACTGGGAGCAGACACATTCATTGTAAGAGAGAGTGTTTTTATTCTTGGATGAGGCATTAATGTGGCCATTAACTAAGTAACTGGACGGCGTACGGAACCAGAAGTTTCATCACCAAACTAACCTAAGCCCTCCACTGGACCCAGCCTGGGCCAACAAAATCCAGTCTCCTTGAACTAATATCTCCGAAAGATCCACCTCAGATTATCCTCTCATCTACGTTTAGGTCTCTTCCCCTCAGGCTTCCCAATCAATACCCTGTGCATGCTTCTTGCTCCATCAATGCGCTCCACATGCTCAACCCATCTCATTCATCTTGTCTTAATCACCCTGATAATATCAAGGGAGGAGTACAGATTTTTAAGCTCGTCATTATGCAGCTTTCCCCATACCAAATCGTCTTCTCTCCTAGGCCCAAATGTCCTCAAAACCCTGTTTTCAAACACCTGCAATCTGTGTTCCTCCCTCAGAGTGAGAGACCATGTTTCGCACCCATACAAAACAACAGGCAAAATTATTGTTTTGTATATTTTAATCTTTAGGTTCATTGAAATCAGACAAAATATTCTGAACTGAGATCACTGTACCTTCCCTTTATCATTTTAAAAAGAATGAGGCTCTCATAATCTTCGTATTTTTGTTAAAATTAATCATCAAGCAGAAATTTCTACACAATCACCAATGTCTTAATCCATGATTTTCTAAAGAGCTGGTCGCTGTAAAAGTAATTGTTTTCTAACCTAAAACAGTCTCTTGGCACACGTATTTCAATTATAATAAAGTATGAACAGGGTGGACAAAGAACATGAGCAATAAATAAAGTTACTGAGTGATGGGGATGGAGGAAAAGGGGCGAGACATCACGTCTCCTTTCTCTTTGTGTGAAAATTCTGTATAATCACCAAGCCGTTCCTTAGCACACTTAAAACTGTTATCATTTTTCAGTTAATGTAACCTTACAACAACAACTTTTCTCATGAATCCAATCAGCTGTACAAAGGTTCGAATGCAAAACATCAAACCAACCAAGTCTGAAGGTTTCTGTTGATTATCATATGAGAAATTATTTTGTACTTCATCCGTCATCTAAATCACAAAATGTTCCACAAGCTGGATTCTGTTTCTCTCTTAATCTGGATCAATCATTCTTCGCATTTACCCCGTATCGCATAATTGCGCTGGCAGAAAATCTTGGAGCCACCTGCACTTGGTCTACAACTGCTACAGGCAAGTTTATTTGATGAAGCCTCGTAGTGAAATGAATACAATCTTTCTCAAAGGCATTTGTGGGTGGTCTGATTCCATAAGGATTTATCTCTGACACCTAGTTCCAAGTAAGATAATTTTAAATGGCATAAGGCATCTGGGTCCATATTTGGATTGAGAGTCTTCAACAGACAAAATCACATGAAAGAGCAAGCTTCATCAAAAGGTTCTTCTAACCTGTGACTCAGTCTGCTCTGGCTGATGTCAGAGGATCATATTTCATTTGGGGTCAAAGGCTTTGTCTCTGTCACAGGAAGTAAATTTCATCCCCCCCCCTCCCCCAACAGAACCATGGTAATCAGAGAAATCGAATCAGCTTGGACGGTGTGAAAGGAGCTGTATGGTGACAGACTATGGATTGGACGACCAGGGTTCAATCCCTGCCAGAGGTAGTTGATTTGTCCTCCAGTCTGCGTCTACACTGGCTCTGAGGTCCAAGCAGCCTCCTATCCAATGGGTACTGGGGTTCTTTCCTGGAAATAAAGGTCAGCCTCGGCATGACGTTAACAACACACGCCTACCTATTGCCAAGATTAACAATGAGTAGATGCTATATACCCCAAGAGCCTACATGGCGTATAGTGCGACAATGTGCTCATTTTTACTTTTACTTCTTTGAATATGTGAAATCTGCAGTGAATTGGCAGGAAATGGTCACAACTAATTCAGACAGCCATGCAGCATGTCTAAGAAGAAATTCCAACTTCGTTTTGAGGCAAGAACATTCTTGTTGTACAACAGCTGACAGCTCAAGGCCAACAAAACAGGCCTGAATGAACCTGACCTGACAAACCGAGCCTAGGATGATGACAGGATGATTCAACCTCATCTGCAATGGATGGAAAGTGGGGAATAGACACAGAGTCCATC